AAGAACCCATCGTCTCAGTCCAAAAACTCCTGAAACTGGTAAGCAACTTCAGCAAAGTCTCAGGATATAAAATCAATGTGCAAAAATCACAAGGATTCCTATACACAAATAAGAAACTTAAAGAGAGCCAAATAAAGAACAAACTGACATTCACAATTGCTACAAAGAGAATAAAATACCTAGGAATACAACTAACAAGGAACATAAAGGACCTCTTCAAGGAGAACTATAAACCACTGCTCAATGTAATAAGAGAGGACACAAACAGATGGAGAAACATTCCATGTTCATGGTTAGGAAGAATCAATATCATGAAAATGGCCATACTGCCCAAAGTAATTTACAGACTCAATGCTATCCCCATCAAGCTACCAATGACTTTCTTCACAGAACTGGAAAAAACCACCTTAAACTTCATATGGAACCAAAAGAGAGCCGGCATAGCCAAGTCAATTCTAAGCAAAAAGAACACAGTGGGAGGCATCACACTACCGGACTTCAAGCTATACTACAAGGCTACAGTAATCAAAACAGCATGGTACTGGTACCAAAACAGAGATATAGACCAATGGAACAAAACAGAGGCATCGGAGGCAACACAACATATCTACTACCATGCAATCTTTGATAAACCTGACAAAAACAAGCAATGGGGAAAAGATTCCCTGTTTAATAAATGGTGTTGGGAAAACTGGCTAGCCATGTGCAGAAAGCAGAAACTGGACCCCTTCCTGACACTTTACACTAAAATTAACTCCAGATAGAATAAAGACTTAAACATAAGACCTGGCACCATAAAAAGCCTAGAAGAAAATCTAGGCAAAACCATTCAGGACATAGGAGTAGGCAAGGACTTCATGACCAAAACACGAAAAGCATTGGCAACAAAAGCCAAAATAGACAAATGGGACCTAATGAAACTCCATAGCTTCTGCACGGCAAAAGAAACAGTCATTAGAGTGAATCAGTAACCAATAGAATGGGACAAAATTTTTGCAGTTTACCCATCTGACAAAGGGCTGATATCCAGAATTTACAAAGAACTCAAACAGATTTACAGGAAAAAAACAAGCCCATTCAAAAATGGGCAAAGGATATGAACAGACACTTTACAAAAGAAGACATACATGAAACCAACAAACAGACGAAAAAGTGCTCATCATTACTGGTCATTAGAGAGATGCAAATCAAAACTACATTGAGATACCACCTCATGTCAGTTAGAATGGTGATCACTAAAAAATCTGGAGACAACAGATGCTGGAGAGGATGTGGAGAAAAAGGAACACTTTTACACTGCTGGTGGGAGTGTAAATTAGTTCAATCATTGTGGAAGACAGTGTGACAATTCCTCAAGGACCTAGAAATAGAAATTCCATTTGACCCAGCAATCCCATTACTGGGTATATATCCAAAGGATTATAAATCATTCTACTATAAGGACACATGCACACGAATGTTCATTGCAGCACTGTTTACAATAGCAAAGACGTGGGACCAACCCAAATGTTCATAGATGATAGACTTGACTGGGAAAATGTGGCACATATATACCATGGAATATTATGCAGCAATCAAAAATGATGAGTTTGTGTCGTTTGTAGGGACATGGATGAATCTGGAGAACATTATTCTCAGCAAACTGACACAAGAACAGAAAGTCAAATACCTCATGTTCTCACTCAGGTGGGTGATGAACAATGAGAACACGTGGATCCAGGGAGGGGAGCTCTACACACTGGGGTCTATTGGGGGGAATAGGGGCGGGACAGCAGGGGAGGGTTCTGGGGAGGGATAGCATGGGGAGAAATGCCAGATGTGGGTGAGGGGGAGGAAGGCAGCAAATCACAGTGCCACGTGTGTACCTATGCAACTATCTTGCATGTTCTTCACAGGTACTCCAAAACCTAAAATGCAATTAAAAAAAATGGAGACAGGAAGGAATAAGGGAGGAAAATAACAGACAAGCAGCCAACCAATATTTTACTTAAACCTGTGAAATGCTATGCAATTGCTGAGGAGTGATTTATTTCCAATTTTGTGGTCACTATTATAATACGTGTGTTGTGATACTGAGGAAAATGTATGTTTTGTGGATTTGGGGTGGAGAGTTCTGTAAATGTTTATTAAGTTTACTTATTTCAGGTCTGAGTTCAAGTACTGGATATCCTTGTTAATTTTCTGTCTCGTTGGTCTGTCTAATATTGACAATGTAGTGTTAAAGTCTCCCACTATTATTATGTGGGAGTCTAAGTCTCTTTGTAAGTCATTAAGAACTTGCCTTATGTATCTGGGTACTCCTGTATTGGGTACGTATATATTTAGGATTGTTAGCTCTTCTTGTTGCATTGATCCTTTTACCATTATGTAATGTCCTTCTTTGTCTCTTTTGGTCTTTGTTGTTTTAAAGTCTATTTTATCAGAGACAAGAATTGCAGCTCCTGCTTTTTTTTAAATTTTTCTCTCCATTTGGTTGGTAAATCTTCCTCCATCATTTTGTTTTGAGTCTTTTTGTATCCTTGCATGTGAGATGGGTCTGGGTGCAACATACAGATGGGTTTTGGCTTTTTATCCAATTTGCCTGTCTGTGTCTTTTGATTGGGGCATTTAGTCCATTTAAATTTGGGATTGATATTGATATATATGAGTTTAATACTGCCATTTAATGCTGGCTGGCTGCTTTGCTCATTAGTTGATGTAAATTCTTGATTATGGTGATCCTCTTTACCTTTTGGTATGTTTTTGGAATGGCTGATACTAGTTGTTCTTTTCTATGTTTAATGCTTCTTTCAGAAGCTCTAGTAAAGCAGGCCTGCTGGTAATGAAATCTCTGAGTACTTGCTTATTCACAAAAAATTTTATTTTTCCTTCACTTAAGAAGCTTAGTTTGGCTGGATATGAAATTCTGGTTTGAAAAGTCTTTTCTTTAAGGATGTTGAATATTTGCCCCCACTCTCTTCTGGATTGTAGGGTTTCTGCTGAGAGATTTGCTGTGAGTCTGATAGGCTTCCCTTTGTGGGTAACCTGACCTTTTTCTCTGGCTGCCCTTGGTATTTTCTCCTTCATTTCAACCCTGGTGAATCTAATGACTATATGTCTTGGGGTTGCTCTTCTTGAGGAATATCTTTGTGGTGTTCTCTGTATTACCTGGAGTTGAGTATTGTCCTGCCTTACTAGTTTGGGAATGTTTTCCTGGATAATATCCTGAAGAATATTTTCCATATTGAATTCATTCTCTTTGTCACATTCAGGTATACCTTTCAAACATAAATTAGGTCTTTTCACATAGTTCCATATTTCTTGGAGACTTCGCTCATTCCTTTTTAGTCTTTTTTCTCTAAACTTGTCTTCTTGTTTTGTTTCATTAAGTTGGTCTTTGACCTCTGATATCCTTTCTTCTGCTTGATCAATTTGACTGTTAAAACTTGTGCACACTTCACGAAGTTCTCGTATTGTGTTTTTCAGCTGTTAATTCACTTATATTCCTCTCTGAATTATCTATTCTCGTTAGCATTTTGTCAAACCTTTTCTCAAGGTTCTTAGTTTCTTTGCATTGGGTTAGAACATGTTCTTTTAGCTCAAGAAGTTTCTTGTTATCCACCTTTTGTAGCCTGATTCTGTCAATTCATCACACTCATTTTCCATCAGGCCTTGTTCCGTTGCTGATGAGGAGCTGTGATCCCCTGTAGGAGGAGAGACACTCTGATTTTGGGTATTTTCAGCCATTTTGCACTGGTCTCTTCCCATCTTTGTGGATTTACCCACCTGTTGTCTTTGTAATTGTTGACTTTCAGACTGGGTCTCTGAGTGGATGTCCAGCTTGTTGGTGATGAAGTTTTTTCTGTTTCTTAGTTTTCCTTCAGTGGACACCCCTCCCCCACAGAGCTGGACTTTCCCAGGTTCAGCTGTGCTCGCTGTGAAACTCTCAATCTTCAGTGCCTCCAATTGCTGTTTTTTTGTGGGGTCACTGCACTGGCTGATACAGCGGCATTGAGATTCGTGGTGTTTTTCTGCCTGGGAATCTCCTGGTCTGGCTCCCCTCTTCAGTCCCCCCTTCAATCAGCTGAATGGGTGACTCCACCTTCCCGGAGCTTCAAATGCCAACCAAAAGGGCACCCAGTCCCGTACACTCCACACTGAGAACTGCCGTGCCAAGGCACTGGCAAAACAGCCTCACCAGCCAAAAGAGTCATGCTGGTGTCTCTTGGGGCTTCTTCGCTGGGAATCTCCTGGTCCATGGGCAACAAAAATTCGTCTGGAAGTGTGTCATCCACTCAGTCTCTGCACTTTCACTGGGAGCTACAATCCTGAGCTGCTGCTAATCGGCTATCTTGGATCTCTCTCCCTAAGATTAAAATTATTTTATGTGAAAAATGTTTTCTTATACACAAACCCAGACATAAATGCACATATTTATTACTTGGCTGCTCTTTAAAATATAAATTTTATTGGGGGTTATCATCTAAAATGTTTTTAAAATACTGTATTACTGGCATAAAAAATAGCATATGGAAAATACAAGGACAAGACACAACACTCTATTCTAGAAACTATAATTAGTTTGATGTGTCTAGATTGCAGAGTACATTGTGGAAGGGAAATAAATGGAGAGAAGATGTAGAAAGAAGCACCCATATATTTTAAATGCTCTATAAGGAATTTGTACTTTAAAAATTTGTTTTATTAGTAGGTTATGATGCTTCTCTGAAAATACAGACTGCTCTTTTCTTCAGTTACATGTAAAGATTATATTTTTAGCAATGTGGTGAAGTTAAGAGGCAGTGTATTATTAATTTTTTATGTCTTATTCTAGGAATTCAGGGATTTCAACACAAGGTGATATGAGTAACATTTTTTTTAGCCTGCGTACATACTGGAAAAGGACATTATATGCCAGGGACAGCTGACACCTGTCAAATAGAATGAGACAGACGTGAGCAGGTGAGCTGAGGAATACATTCCTTAAGCTCCAAAGTAGTTTACCTAAATAGGAAGAGACTCACCTAGAGTAAGGAAAGTGTTTCAAGTTGGTTTAGGAGCACATGAGACCTGTTGATGAGAATGAATGATTTGAGATGCTCCCTGTATGCCACATCCATTTGTTTTTAATCCAAACTCTGGAATAATTTGGATCAAATATTATAAAATGAGGGCTATAGAAAATTAAAAATAATCATCCAACTGTATGTATGTGGCTGTAAGAAACTAGTAGGACCCTACTTTAATTCTATTATATTACTTTTAGTTCAATAATATTCTAATTATAGAATAAAAACAGGATTTTGACAAATATTTTTATTTTTACACAGAGAAGATATGCAACATTAAGGATAACTGGAAGAGTTGCCTTATAAGGCAGCAACAGAAATAGGATCTAAGGTCAGGAGAAGAGAGGAAGTGATCCTGGGGGTACCTGACCATAGGCATAAGAAATAGCAGAGAGAAAGTGACCAAGGAGTGCATGGAAATGGGACCAATATTTATTCATTTATTTATCAGTCGTTTGTGACACAAAGGATAATTATGTGATATGTTTATCTCAATATTATGATTAAACCTTAATCTGCAAGGTGCTTCAAAGTCATTTTGTTTTTTAATTACTCCTGCTCAACATCAATCTAAATATTATTAATAAAGAATATTGTTGGCCAGGTGCAGTGGCTCACACCTATAATCCCAGCACTTTGGGAGGTTGAGGTGGGTGGATCACGAGGTCAGGAGATGGAGACCATCCTGGTCAGCATGGTGAAACCCCGTCTCTACTAAAAATACAAAAAGTAGCTGGGCATGGTGGTGTGTGCCTGAAGTCCCAGCTACTCTGGAGGCTGAGGCAGGAGAATTGCTTGAACCCAGAAGGCGGAGGTTGCGGTGAGCCGAGATCGTGCCATTGCACTGCAGCCTGGGTAACAGGAGTGAAACTTTATCTCAAAAATTAAATAAATAAATAAATAAATAAATAAATAAATAAATAAATAAATAAAACAAATATGAAAAAAGGAACATTGTTATTGAGTATCTAATCAACTCCTCTGCACAGCAGTATATGATCCATTCCCTCATGGAAAATTTCTGTTTGGAAAACTGTTCCACTTGTCACTTAAGGATGTTGCATTAAGTCTAAGCCTAACCCTAAGCCATTCTATTATATTTATTTGAATTGTTTCACTTTTTGCATTTCAATCTGTCCATATAAATTTCATCGTGTTAATGGGATTACTTACCTGAATAAGTGAGACTTTTGCATTGGGATGTCTAAGAGCAGCAGTCTCTTATGCACAATTACCAACTGAGGCTTGAGCAAACCAGCTGGCATACTCTGTAACAGAAGGAGATATCAGCACCTCAATTTGGCTATATTTCTGTTTGATATGGGCTGGAAATATTGTTAAAAAAACTATACATATCCATATATAAATATATATAAATAAATTTAAATATATCTAGCTCAATGAGTAGAATATTGTAATTATTAAATCAAAAGTCAAGATCTTGACAAAAATGTTCATGTCTCCATGGAGCAGATATGCAAAACCAAGGATAAATGGAAGAGTTGCCTTGTAAAGCAGCAACAGAAATAAGATCTAAGGCCAGGAAAAGAGATGAAGTGACTATCTATCTATCTATCTATCTAACTTACACAGTCTTGTCAATGTCATATTTACAGTCACTTCATACATTGACACAAAATAAAAACCAGGACCTTTATGATATGATAGGTGTATATACATTTTTGTGAAAACAAATTTCCTTGGATTGTGTTGCAAATTTTTAATTCATTTGTGGTACTCAACAGATTTACATTGATTCACCCTATCATCCTCCTTAGTTGAGACCCCATTTTTTTCTGTATTTTAGTCTACCATTTGAATATCTTTCCTTCTCACCACAAACACACATTAGCACAAATTAACTGTTTGGTCTGCCCATCTTTCATTTCTACCTTTATTTAGAGCTATATATAGCAGTGAGCATTATTTAATGATGTATTGTATCTGCTTTTAAATATATGTGTATAATAGATATTTAATATGCATATTCTGCAACTTGCTTTTTCACTCAGCAATTTTTGTTTACAATCTAGTAGACAGAATGGAGAGAACAGCAGGAGGTATTTGAATGTCACGTAAAGGTTCAAGCTTTTCTGAGATTACAACATACCTCCTCCTACAAAAAAGGTAAGCTATTTTTGCATTAATACCCCTTAGCAATGTGACTTTGTTGGTCATCACATCAAAAATTGAGATTTACCTCTTAATCCCTTAAATCAAACTTTGACCATGTAACTTGCATTGACTAATTAGACATTAGCAAATTTGACATAAGAAGGGGCTTGAATAGTGCTAGTGCACTAGGCATTGGCTTTTCTTGCTACTTTTAGAACTCAGGGACTCAGGGAAGAAGCCTGACTTTGTTAGATACTGAACATGTGACCTAAACATCATTCATGTGAATGAAGCCATCCAGACTGAACACCCTCAGCCAGCCAGCCACTGAGACCAGCAGAAGAATCCCCAGCTATGCCCATCATTGCTAATATACAGCACCAGGGGATAAATTATTGTGATTTTAAGCTATTGAATTTCGGCATAGGTGTATTTATATTGTAGCAAAAGTTAGACAGTACACATCTACTACTTATCTCTACCATTTGTATTTCTCTCTGTGATACTGAGTTTTATTTTTAGTACATGGTAGAATTTTTCATTATTTTATGTTTCTTTTTTCTTTTTTGTGGAGACCAGGTCTTCCCCTACTGCCCAGGCTGTTCTCACACTCCCAGACTCAAGCAAATCTTCTGCCGTGGTCTTTCAAAGCGCTGGGATTACAAGCATGAACCATCTCACTTGGTCTTATTTTGCAATTTAATAACTGTTTTTAGATAACAGTCCATGGATTCATGGGCAGAAAGCACCTATTTTAAAAACTTAACCATCTCATTCTGATTTGAAGTGAGTGAACATGGACTGAAATTATGTTATGTCTTTCTTGCCGCAAGCCAAAATAAATAAATAAATAAAAGCCGACAAATCACACTATCAAAATGTCTGGTGCATGTCTTGATATAAGATAGCTGTATGACCATTTATCTGTCTCTGGACTACTAAGTAAAAATTTAGGACCTTGCAGACATTTTCTAGGAATGTAGGAAAAGATAATATAGAAAGATAAAAATGAGTAGAGAAAGAATTGGAGGGATGAAAGAGGAGGGTGAAGAATGGGAAACAGAGAGAACAAGAAAATCAAGAGAAGCAAATTATTGAGCATCTAAATAAGGCTTCTTGATCTTATAAGCTGCTTAGGTTTGTCAGGAATGCTGTAACACAATACCAAAGACTGGGTAATTTGTAAGCCGTAAAATATATTTCTCATAGTAGTAGAAGCTGGGTAATTTAAGATTAAGGAACAAACAGAGTTCATGTTTGTTGAGCTCTGCTCTCTCCTTCCAAGATAGTACCTCACTTCTGTGTCCTCACATAATAGAAGGGCAAAAGGGAGGAATGCTGTATCCCTACGTGGCAGAAGAGATTAAAGAATCAGGCAGCTCTCTGAAGCCTCTTTTATAAGAACATTAATCCCATTCATAAAAGCAGAGCCCTCATCCTCTAATAATCTCATCCTCCCCAAATCTCTACCATTTAATACCATCACCTTGAGGTTTAAGTTCTCACATAGGAATTTTGGAGAGACACATACATTCAAGCCATAGCATATGTCAGTGCATTCTCTTACTTTGCTTATGAGAGTTTGAAATGGACTTCTCTTGCAGGACTCTAGAAATATAGGAAATTGGTATTTGGATATGGTTATTTAAAATGTCAGACAGTAGCTGAATGCAGTGGCTTGTGCTTGTAATTCCTGTGCTTTGGGAGGCCAAGATAGGAGGATCTGAGGCCAGGAGTTGGAGGCTAGAGTGAGCTCTGATAGTGTCGCTGAACTGTAGCTTGGATGACAGAGCAATCCTCTGTCACTAAAATAGTAAAAAATAATATGAATAATAAATAAAAGAAAAAATAAAGAAAAAAGAAAATGGCACACTGGAGGTAAGATTAATAAATGAGACAATTACTCTCTTAACAATCTATATCCATATTTTTTAACACACTGTATTTGACTTTAATTACATTTGTTTCATTATAAATTTGAAAACTAAATTTAATTTTAGTTATCATTGTTTACTAAAAAACATTATTAAAAATTTTTTTTCTGAGTATAATTTTGGAGAAAAAGTCTTTAAGCTTTGTCAGATTTTATCATATCTTTGAAAACTACAATTTACAATTGGGTTTATACTTTTAATTTAAAATTTAGTTAGTGTTTGTCATAGTTTCTTATTTAATACAAAAATCCAATAAATATCCTATGTTTTTCTTTGATAATGCTGTGTTGGAAAAACTCCATGAAATTTGATGCTTTATTGTCATTTTTTTTTATTTTTAAAAATCATGTAAAGTTTAGAGTTACTCATTGATCCCATTAGAAGGATTTTTTCCCCAATCTTATCTTTTATTTGTTTATAGTTTTGTGATTAATTTTGATTGCTTGTATTACTTTAGAATTTTAAAATTAGTCAATTTTGTGTAAGTGTTTCACCTACACAGGAAAGCTAACTCTGTTTCTTAGAGACATAGTTTGATATATTTTTACTCAATACAAAATATATTCTTTAACTTATCTGACATAAATTCTTAGTAATTTTTGTACTTAATCTGTTGATATGGTTTGGCTGTGTTCCCACCTAAATCTCATCTTGAATTTTAGCTCCCACAATTCCCACGTGTTGTAGGAGGAAACTGGTGGGAGGTGGTTGAATTATGGGGGCAGGTCTTTCCTGTGCTGTTCTTGTGATAGTGAATGGGTCTCTTGAGATTTGATGGTTTTATAAAGAGGAGTTTCTCTGCACAAGTTTTCTCTTCCCTGCCACCATGTAGGATGTGACTTGCTCCTTCTTGCCTTCTACCATGACTGTGAGGCCTCCCCAGCCACATGGAACTGTGAGTCCATTAAGCCTATTTTTCTTTATAAATTACCCAGTCTCAGGTATGTCTTTACCAGCAATGTGAAAACAGACAAATACAACTGTTAAGTACTAAAAAATGTGTTATTATCATCAATATGACTATACAACGATACTTTTCTTGGGTTTCTTTGCTATTTATATATGACTATAAGGAGAGTAAAAATGCATTGATTGATTGATAGATGAATTGATTCATCATTTTGAAAGCCTAAGGGTTTCAAGGAGTTTTAACTTTACTGTAAACTAACTGCTTGATAGAATTTTTCAGTTGAATTCAAGTATTCACATTGCAGTTCTTATTTTTCTGTTGTTTAATGTATCGTGGAATTTGTTAGTTGTTCTTTTACTTTTAACATTACAGACAAAATCTCTCTGTTTTAAAATTTTGTGTGTTCATGTGAACACATGTATTTGCAGGTATGCATGTGATTTTAGAAATCATATAGAATATGTGTGTATTTTTAAGAAAACATGTAGAGGTCACTTTTATTACTGCATCTAAGAATTCATTTTTAAAGGTTAATATCACCCTTGTACATTTATTTTTCACAACCATATCATTAGTCTTTTATTACATTTCTAACAAGAGTTATGAGTAGAGCCCACTTACTATCAGGTAGTTGAGAAATTTAGAGGTTTTTTTACTAAATGCCAGAAGAAAGCACTTTGAGTTATGGTAAAATGACAAAGAAGAAAGTTTATAAGGATAAATGGACTTGAAGTAAAAAAGCATCAATTCATCCATATATTTATTTATTCATCCAATATTGGTCAAAGACAAAGACTCTGTAGTAAGCTCTTCATAGAGCTTACTTTTTAGAGCAGATGCTTGTCATCATTTATAAAGTTCAACTAAAAGGGGTAAATATAAATGAATAACACCAAAATATCATTCTATGTAGGCACACTACTGCCCTTAAACTGAAGGTTAACTGAGATCTATATAAACATTCAAAATGACACATCAGTAGCTTCTTGAAATTTTATTACTAGGAAATTAGAGAAAGATAAGATTCTAAATCCTTCTATATATTCTTTAACTCATCTGACCTAAATTCTTGTTCTACTATATTTTCAAGATTTTAGGAGAATTTGGGAAGACATATGTAGTTAGTAATAAATGATGCTGACCATAATTTCCATTTTGAGGGCCTGCCTGAATTTCCAATGTATATTAATTATTTAAAACATTAAAAAAATACCCAATCTAGCAACTTTAGTGAATAGGGCCTAGAGGAGACATAAGAGGCTAGACATTCATGGTGCTACATCATCTTCTTAAGATAAGACTCTGTAAGGGTTAATACAAATCTTAAAAAGAAAATGAAAAACAAAACAAAATGGTATATTTCCTAGTGCAAAAAGGGAAAGAGACACCACAACTTTCCTTTTCTTAGAGAATTTACTTGAGAAAACTTGTAAAGTAATTGTGAATTCTTCCTCTTGCCCTTGGAGATGTATATAAATCTTAAAAAAAGCTAACGTCTTACAATCGAAGTTTTTTTTCCAAGGTGCTAGAAGCCATTTACTTGAAATGTAAACATCCAGGAAGATAGTATCACTTGCTGTCCATTTTCATGGGAGTTTAACTTGAGCATCTGGCTCCAAATTGTTAACTAAAGTTGACCCTTGAACAACAAAATTCTAGTATGTGTCTACTGATACGGCAATTTTCTTCTATTTCTGCCACCCTGAGATAACAAGACCAATCCCTCCTCTTCCTTCTCTTCCTCAGTGTACACAGCGTGAAGTTGACTAGAAGACCTTTATAATGAACCACTTCTATTTAATGAATAGTAAATAATTTTGCTCTTCCTTGTGATTTTCTTAACATTTTCTTTTCTCTAGCTTATTTTAGTATGAGAATATGGTATATAATACGTATAACATGAAAAATATGTTATCAGTAAGGCTTCTGGTTAATAATAGGCTATTAGTAGTCAAGTTTTAGGGGAGTCAAAAGTTATATACAGATTTTTGACCATATAGGGGTTCAGTACCCCCTAACCTCTGCATTGTTCAAGAGCCAACGTTGTCATCATTTATAAAGTTCAACTAAAAGGGGTAAATATAAATGAACAACACCAAAATATCATTCTATGTAGGCACATAGAATGTGCCTACCTTCATAGAAATATGAGAAGTTTTGTGGGTCTTTTGGATAAAGAAAATTTACAAGACAAATGACCACACCAACTGTAGGTGAGTATAAGATGAACTATGGGTAACAAATGGTGCAGTCAAGACATCTGACTTGAGATCCAGTTATTGTTTATCTTGAGAACATGTATGCAATGCTTTTTATCTGCTTGCTTAAAAGGATTAGATTTTAGTCTTTAGTGGCAGGCAGTAAGTTACCTGGGATATGTGAGAAAAGAAAAATACTTCAGAGCAGTTTGAGCTATGTGAGGTATGCAGGTGCAGAGAGACATGAGCATAGGACATCAGTCACGCCCCTCCTCCCACACCTGTGCTTGGGGACAATTGTTTCAAGTCATTTTATTTTGGACTAGCTGTCTCATCCATTATCTTCATGTTCCTGGAATTTGTCATACAAATAACAATGTAAGCCAATGAAAAGCTAATGTTGTTTTAATGCAAATTCTTAGTAAACAACTCAGGAACTGCCTTCTCTTTTCCTTTGTAAGTCCACTTTTAACTGCTGCTCATTGGAGTGTTTGTTTAGGGAACTTGAATTAATCTATGCTCCTGGGTTGCAATCCTCAAACATGGCCTAAATAAACTCTCCGTGTACTTTAATTTTGCCTCAGCTTCTTCCTTCTAGGTCAATATATGCAACACATTCTGACTTAACATTTATTATTCAATAATAAAACTGTTTTCTTTCTCTTCCATTATGAAGAGGTTTTCTGGGTTCACAAGAGATTTCGTATAAACTATTAAAGTAGATTTCCTCAACAATTGCCAATCAGTCTTTAGCAGGCAGGAAATGGTAGGTCATCAAATTCCAACCATGTGCTTCAAGTTAGTCTAGTATTTGAAAAATGTGCTACAATACCTGATTTTCTTTCAGAGTAGCCAACAATTGTTGGTGGAGTTATTTGGCCATTTGACCATGACATGTAGCCACAATGTGTGTAGAAAATAATGATTTCGAGGGGTATGAGATAGTGTAGTGCTCATTTCAGAGGTGGCAAAGTGAGTGAGCCTGTGGCTGCTGGCTATAAGCAACTTTTTTCTTCCCCAATTAAAGATATACATTTTTGTGTTAGAGGAGATTAAACTTCCTGAGAAGTCATTCATTCACCAGTTTAAAAGATGGTATTGGAGTCTGCCAAACTCTGAGTTGTACCAACAAAATTTCCAAATTATGTTTTTATAACCTTGCTAGGAAAAGAGAAGACCAGCGCTGTTGTGCTGAAAATGTAAGGAATACTTGGTAGAAAGTACACACATAATTACTGAATGTAAGTTTAGGATCTGCTAGTTTTCATCTATACTTAGTCAAAAGTAGAGAGAGATAAGTCTTTCTTGAACAGCTACAAGAGAGAAAACCATGTTTTACATGTTAGTAGTGTATGCAAGGTGGGAAGCTTTCAGAACTGGGAGAAAAGCACACAACTTAGGAAGAAAAAACTTTTTAGGATTCAGTAGAGGAGTGGCATTCCAGTCTGGAGCCCAGGCGTAGGTGGGAATACAAGCAAAAGCATAATGTGAAATAAGACCTGTAGTCATCTGCTTGAGTTCTAACTGACACAAGAACAGAAAATGAAACACCGCATATTCTCACTCATAGGTGGGTGATGAAAAATGAGAACACATGGACACAGAAAGGGGAGTACTAAACACTGGGGTCTATTGGGGGGAAAAGGGGAGGGCCAGTGGGAGGGGGAGGTGGGGAGGGATAGCCTGGGGAGAAATGCCAAATGTGGGTGAAGGGGAGAAGAAAAGCAAAGCACACTGCCATGTGTGTACCTACGCAACTGTCTCGCATGCTCTGCTCATGTACCCCAAAACCTATAATCAAATAAAAAATTAAAAAAAAAAAAAAAAAAAAAAAAAGAAAGACCTGTAGTCATTCCCACTCTCATTCTTCTTACAGAGATCTCAGTTTATTTTCTGTGAAGGCTGAAAGTACCAGCACCTGAAGATAAATCCCTTTTGTAAGCTTTAATAGGCAAGGCTAGGCAAAATTACAGCATAGACTCTACATATTGTAGGGAGAGAAAGGGAGTGATCCCTTTTTCACTCATCATAGGGTCATGGCCGACACCCCTACAACAAAAAGTATAGTAGACTCTACAGTTCTTAGAACTGTACTTTTGGGGCTCAGAAACTGATATCCCCAAAGTGAAGCCCTCAGAAACAGTCTCCTAACAGTGTTTCTCTCTGCATTTCCCTGACATCCTGTTTCACCCTTCATCCTTCCCCAAGTGAGTCAAAGGAACTAGAATCCATCTTTCGCCACAGTGGGTCATAGAAACCAGAAACCTTTTTCCCTGAATCCAGCCGTAAAACCTAAAACTTTTATTCTAACTTTTTGCCATCTTTCGGTGCAAGAAGTGTCCATAAAGAAATGGACCTACCTTGTTTGACTGCAAGTTATCCTAAGTCATAAGATTCTCATTTCCGAAGGGGTCTTGCTCCACATCCGGAAGACAGGAATTCTACACAGACAGACCAAGAAAAATCTGAACAGGCCTTGCTGAGTTTCTCCACTCAGTCTAAGTAGACCGTACCCTCTTTGTCCAATCACAGTTCTACGCACTTACCTGTTTTCCATTGAACCTAAGCATAAAAATGGATTGCTTTCCTGGCACCTTTGGGTCTTCATTCTGAAGGCTCGTATGTCCGGTAAAACCTAGAACAAATACGTTTGTTATGCTTTTCTCTTGTTAACCTGTTAATGGTGTCTTCAAAACTAAGAAAGTAACATCAATAGATTTCAAATGACTTGTATTTTTAAAAAAATTCTGGCATCAACATAAATTACTGTTTAGAGAATTCCAGCTCCATTGTGTGTGTCTCACATGGCTGTCAGCTCTCTCCTTTTGAGCATATCCCAGTCTTTCCAGAAGTATCTTAACCTGGCTTTATGAAAATAAACAGCTGCAATACTCAATACCAAAAAACCCTAAGGGCTAAACATGAAGATAAGAGGATGTGGAACTTCCTTATCTCTTCATCTTGTCAGTTTTATCAGGCTGACAGGCAATATTCATTGTAGGCCCATTATATCTCATCTACATCTGAAAGTGTACCACAGCGTTCTGAATAGAAATTAAGGTCATTCTGTCAGTGAACCAAGTGAATTGCAATGCACATCATTTTTATCTTAGTATAATAAGCTTTTTCCCCTTAGTACTTCACAATGTGTTTAGTTTCATTCTTCACTTACAAGCAGCAGGAAATTAGAATTGAACATAAGTATATTTTTCAGACAGACAAAATGAAAGTGTGGATTGCATTTTCTTAGGGTTCAATGTGAGAAAACTTCCTGTTTCTATTCAGTTTAGAGAATCTAGATTATTAAGCCACCTATAAATCTATTAAATTAACTAATAAGAGAGAGACAGAGGAAAAAAGAAAACTAGGAAAGTAGTTAAGCATCCAGCAAAAAGCAGAAACATCTACAAATGATTTAGACATACTATACAGTTTTGTTAAAATGTCCTCAGCAATTTAACAGTAACATATATTATAATGGGGCAAAGTTGTGCAAGTGAGTAACAAGGAAGTCGGCATCAAGAAATGTAGACATGACCAGGTGTTGGCGAAATAAGATCTGTGTTAAATCTTTCCCATCACTTGTTTTGTGAATAAAAGTTTATTGGAACTTATTCACCATTATTCTTTACATGTTGTAAATGACTCTGTTGGTGCTACAATAGCAGAGCTGAATAATTGCAGCAAAGATCTTACTTAGGACCGACAAAAACCAAATACGTACTATCTGACCCTTAATAGAAAAAGTTTGACTTTTGCTGTAGAGGATATTTTAATACATCTAGATAAATTGATTTTTAAATGAATATTAGCTTAATTAAATATTCATGCCCACATATTGAGAATATCTTGAGCAATGAACAAAACTTTCATAGGTACTAAACATGTGTGCTGAGTTGATGCTAAACTACACTAAAATTTGATTATGTGGATAGGAAAATATAGCATGCTAGAGCCATTTTAAAATGGGAACTGTATGATATTATTTAGAACAAGTCAATTAATAATTGATATAATTATAAAAGTGACATATGAACATATTAAAATATTCAAACAATATTAAAGTAACAAAATTAAAATAACAAAACTAAAAATAAGCTTTTTGACCTCTTTATGCTGAGGTCCACTACCTAAAATAATTATTGTTAATTTATGTTCGTGTTTACGTTGCTAGACATATAAATAAATATACTTATTTCTAAATTTCTTTATTGTAAATGTAAGCAGTTTCAATTTTTCCCTTAAAGGGTTCTTTGACTGACTGACTTTTTCTTTCATATCCTTCCCACTGTCTCTTTTACAGTATTTTAGTTGTATGATTTTTACATATTCTAGTTATCTATAATATTTTAAAACATCTTAGGCCATGATTGAATGCAGTACTTTGGTATTTGGTAGCAAACATTATTAAGCCCGTATTTTGCTTTTAGTTGGGGTTGTAGATGATTTGTGCTGCTGTAACAATATGTCTTAAACTAGATTACTTAACAGCAGAAATTTCTCACAGTTCTAGAGGTTGGGACATCCCAGATCAAAGCCCTAGCAGGTTTGATGTCTGATGAGCCTGATCCTTGCTTCTAAGGTGGTGCAAAATTGTGCACAAAATAATGGGGTAAAATTGTGCAAGTAAGTAACAAGGAAGAAGACATCAAGAAATGTAGACATGAAAAGGTCCTCATTAGTTCTCTCAAGCCCCCTTTTTTAGGGCACTAATCCTATTTATGAAGGCTCTGCTCTCATGACTTAGTCATATCCTAAAGGCCCTACCTTTTAATGCTATTTCATTCAGATTTAAGTTCCTGCATATGAATTTGGGAGGGACACATAAATTCAAACCACAGCAGTTTATGATAAAATTGAGAATCAGTAAATAGAATGAAATATTATAATTACGTAAATTATATTTAGTGAAGAAGGATCTTTCTAGTATCAGGATTTAGCTGTCAATTTCATATTCAACTCAAATTTATACTTAATTGTTTTGATTCTAGGTACTTAATATTCTTGGGCTCCTTTTCCATGAAAAAAAAAAATTGTCCTCTGAATAATTTAAATGTTATACAAATCCAAATGTATTTTAACTTTTATTATGCTTTCAAACGTCATGGAAAGATTCTTCTGCTAAATAGAAGTCCAGTGTTAATCTCACTTTTGTTCTCTTGTGGAAAATTTTGTTCTTCTCATTAAAAATGTTCAGTTCTCTCTTAATGATTGGAATTGAAATTTTATAATATTTAATTCGAGTGGCTCCCTGGTCATTTATGCTGCTTGGTCTATACGTGCTCTTTCAATTCAATCTTTCTTCCAGCTTTCAGAAGTCTTAAATCCTCCCTCAGTTTGCTGGAACTACCTTTAGACAGATGTTGGACTCAGTAATTCAATGTAGGACTTCATGACTCAATGTTGAACTTCATAAATATTAGCTTTTATTTTTTCTATTTTTATATTTATGCTCTATGTTGTTAGAAACGTTTGATGTTAATTCTTGTATTGCCAACTGGTTTCTTACCTGTAACCATTTTATTATTTTATTTCAGCAATTATATTCATTTCTTACATTGTTTTGTTTTCTGATTGCCATTTTTCTGGGCAGGTATGGATGCATTATCCTTTTAAATATCCCTAACATTAGTATCAAATGAATTAAGTTTCATTTATCTTTCTTATCTCTGGGAGTTCTGTTTGTTTATATTAAACCTTTCCATTTTTCTTTCTTTTTTAAAATAATCAAGTAACTATATTGATTAATAGAGGTACTGTCACATCTATAAAAGATTAAGATTGATTTCTCTTGAGTTAGATCTAATCCTGTACAAATGGCCTACTTCAGATTTGCATAAGTGAGCACAGAATGTTAACTGGTTCGATTCCCTTTCAGGTATTTCGATAGGATACATATAGGTAGATCTCCCTTCCTAAACCCTGCCAAACACACACACATACGCTGCTGCCAAAGTTAACACATTCTTTACTTTGCTTTTACTTTTGCATGTTGTCTTAGTTCAAATCATGTTTCCACTATACACTAGCAGTGTGACCAAAGCTTCATTACTTTGGCAGCAGAGATATTTAATTTTCTACTCTTGGGTAGAGCTATCTTTTCTTCCTTCATTCTATTCATTTCTGCCTTTTGCCCCAATAGGAACTTTCCAAAGTCAGATTTCTTATTCCCTAGAAAGCAATTCTCTGTGTCCTGGAGTGGACAGTAGAAAGAGGAAATGGCCTAGTGGACTCAATTTTTCTATGCTCAGTTCTTCAGTTATTTATCTTCCTATTTGTTCAGTGATACGCAGTTGCTCTTGAACGTGTTGACTATGACCTTGAAACATCTTCTAGGGCTTATTGAAAGGAACTTATATCAGACTGTGGTTTCTTCTGTTATTACATTCCACTAATCCAAATATTTATTTAAGTTTTGGATTTTCTACTGCCAGGCTTCCCTTTTTTCAATACGGTTATGTATCGAAACATACTTATATCTATGTATATTAATGTGTATGTGTAAGTGTGCATATCTACATGTTTCTGCCATTCTCATGAGACCTCAGGAAAGAGGAGATATAGAATACTCTTGGTTGTCATTTTAAAAATAAAGCTTCTCAAATAGATTTACATTAATCTCGAAGAACCAGGCACAAGATACATCAAATAATTGTACAATTCTTTCTCTGTATTTAATATAACTAGATCAAGGAGAAATATTTCTACCTCAAGATAGCTTAAAAATTCTGGAGTTGTTTTGTCTTAGTTCAAATCATATTTCTACTATTCACTAACTAACTGTGTGACAAAACCCAGGTGTGAAGTGTCTCAAAATACCTTTAAAATAAGGATAATACTAGTGCCAGTCTTAAAGATTTGCTGCAAAAGTTAAAGGAGTTGGTATATTAGTGCATGGTATGAAGTAAGTGAATAAAGTGAATAAAGGTATTCGCAATTATTACTAGTGTTATTAATCTAAGACATATGTTATCCTTATAAGTCATATATTTTGTAGCATTATAAATATGTAAGTTTATCAAGAAAAAAGAGATTGTGTCAATAGAGACCATTTCTTATGTCTGTAGCCTTCACTGTCTATGCTGCACTGTATAATGTGAAAGCCAGTAGCCACACATGCCTACTTAAATTTATAATTTAATTAATTAAAAAGGAAAGCTCAGCTTTCAGTCAGACTAGCCATATTTCAAGTAATCTATAGCCACACTAAATGAAAAAACAGAGCTATAGAATATTTCCAACATTTCAGAAAGTTCTAGTGGAGAGCACTGGTCTATAATCTTCACTGATCTGACCAAATAAAGATATGATATTAGTGTATGGGAACAAGTACAAACTGAATAAAATTTTTATTTTTAAAATTTTTTGTTGTCACATCATAATATAGTCTAAAACAAAAATGCATGTGCTTAGGTATCATCTAGGCATAGATATATTTTCCCTTCTCACTATTTCAATTTAAACTATGATTGATAGAAATAATTAGTTTTTGTTTCATTTTCAAATAAGACACATGATTATAAAGACAGTAGAAATTTAGTTAGATCTGTTCCTTAAAAATGTTACAAAATTAGTATCTCAATAATCATTTAATAAGTAAAGAAAAAATATCTATTGGTGTAAAATAAAACCTTTATAATGGAAAACAATTTATTCAATGACTACTGGATATAGAAATTCTTAGCAGATACTTTAAAAAGAGTTATTACCTGAAATCATATAGTATGGATTATTTAAGTTACACTCTGGTTAAAATAATACAGTTTGAAATATGAAATTTGAATAAGTTAGTGATCCCAAAGCAGAAGACTCATTTTAATGATTTGGGTGAAAAGTCAATACATATGGGAGAG